TCCTTTTGGAAGTTCGAAAAAATATTGATGATGGATAGAAATAAATCGAAACACATTCGAATCACCTTGTATAATACATGGTTGAATTCAGAATAAAAAAATCTTTCAGAATCTATGAAAAAATTATCAGGACCGTATTTAAAAAACGAAAGTTGATGATGGTTCTACAAATACGAAACGTCGCATAAAAAATCGGCATCACCACGTTAAACGCCCTCAAAAGTTGCTATGAAAAAGTATTTTCAGTTTTTCTGTTTCTCTAATAATAACGGAGAAAAAAAATAAAATATATATTCCAAAAATTCACTTTTTTCTATATAACTCAAAAACTAAAAATAATTTAAAAAATTTCCGAAGGCTCTTGATATGAGCCTCCGAATGCGCAACTTTTTCCCTATTTAAACGACTTCGTATCTCCTACCGTTTCCGAGATCCCCATGCTGTTCAACCTTATCTTGGACAGACTGTATAAAAAGACTGAATATGCTACAAGAACTGTATAGATAAAATCCTCCGATAGTTCAATCAACGAACACTAAAAAAGGCTGAATAGAGGAAAAAAATCGTGTAGTCGCAAATTTCTGTATAGTGGTAAAGGAAAGTGTCATTAACAACATACTAAAAGTCCTGACCCGTAGGGGATGAGCGCGATGGTGGGGGAGTGTTTGAAGGTCATTTTCTCAATGATTTCTTGAATAATTCGAAAATCGTGACCTCTAGCGAAAAAATATACGTATACAAAATTGGACTACTTGAAATTTTCTATAAAAAAGTTCCTATTCACTTGTTGTCTACAATGGATAGTTTCTGAGATACAGGGGAAACAAAAATCGAAAAGTATAAAAAATAGAGTTTACTGATATGCAATTCATGTTTGTTGTATCACTATTGTCCTGCGTTTCATGAAATGTATACCTATAGACTGCTTCTCATCAAATGATGGCTTTTACTATAAAAATAAGGACTGGTAGCATAAACTCATGTCGTTCATGGGGTGCATTGGTCACACAATGGCAGGGTCGGGACTGAAAGAAGTATTATGCCTTGTTTATGCTACAAATTCAGTTGACAAGATCCTAACTGGACATGCTTACAGCAGAGCCGTTCGAGGACATTTACTCATTCAAGCTGTCTTAGCTTGGATTATTCTGGAAGGAGCCAGCATCTCAGAACAAGAAAAGAAGGTACTCAGCATTTTGAGTAATATCGAAGATATCACTGTACGAAAGATTGGGGAAGATCCTTGGTTAGCTTCAATTTTTCATAAATTCAAGAATCAGCTGAATAATGTCAAGGAGAATGGGCCTACCGCTGCTTTGTGGGTGCAGTATTTCACCAACCCCTCGACACAAGCAGACAAGGTTACACAGGCTGGCGAGAAAATATTTTTAGAAATGTACCAAGTGACTGCAGATCAACAGGATCTGAATAGACTTCGGTATGCTGCATTCTTGAATGCATCAACAAAGACAAAACCAAATCTCGCCTCACTGCCACCAACCATAGGAGCAGCGCAACAACACTCATTCAGAGTTTATTTACAGGTATAATAACTCAATCCAATCCGTATCATGCCTCTACAATAATATTTATTGGTTATATTTCAACAGGTACAGCAATGGCTCAACAATCCTCTACCCCCGACTGAGTGGGGGTGGAACAGAGGAGAGGATGGATCGCTCATTCCAGTGACAACCAGAGATCCAATAGCACCTGAAGCGATACTGAACAGCATATTCTGCCGATGTTCTACTGGATGTGGAGGACGATGTGGTTTTCGGAAAGCTGGAATTCCATGCTCCATGGTGTGCGGCATGTGCCATGCGTACGTGTACGAACGGTGCACCGTTACTGGATGTGGAAAATGACGATGAAGATGATGATCAATTGTTGATATTATTAGAACGTATTTATTCGATTATGTCTGTTCTCAATGAGTAATGTATTTTTTCTGTTAATATTCAAGTTAAACACCAATTCCATACCATTAAACTCTATTTTTGATACTTCTCGATTTTTTCATCCCCTGTATCTCAGAAACTATCCATTGTGGACAACAAGTGAATAGAAACTTTTTTATTGAAAATTTCATTTACTTCAATTTTGTATACCTATATTTTTCCGCTAGAGGTCGCGATTTTCGAATTATTCAAGAATAACTTGAGAAAATGACCTTAGAACGCTCCCCCACCATCGCGCTCATCCCCTACGGGTCAGGACTTTTAGTATGTTGTTCATGGCACTTTCCCCTGCCACTCTGCAAAAATTTACGACTACACGATTTTTTTCCTCTATTTTTCGTTCGTTTACTGAACTACGAGTGAAACAGAGGTGACTGGTGTTGGCCAAAGAATGTGAGTGCATATGTGAAGTCTTCGTCACAGCGGCCTTTCTTCTAGGGCTTAGCCCTTTATATAGGTAATCTCACTGAGGATACCCAATGGGTGGGGGAATTGTTCAGACGCTATCAGTGGTGAGGGTTGTTTTTGTGGAGGAAAATAAAAATTACAAAACAAAAAACCTTCTCGTGTAGCTCAGCCGGATGGACCAACACGCCCAGCCCACTTTCGGCTATAAGGCCAATCGTCGGGCGCGGGAGTGCGTACACATCCGGCCGAGTTCAGCGCCAGTGCATCACGGGTTGTGTTACAGTGGTACCATGTTGCTCCCATTCCTGGAAGATAGCGATGCCTGGTTCTTCTCCGGAGTTACGATCAAGTCGGGAACTCCTGGGAAATACCCATCCATAGATTTACAGATTCCCTAAAGACATCTGTTTGAGTGATGTTCCGGGTAAGGTCACTTCCAGCGATGTGGTATCTGTAAAATTTATTCGATGTTTTATTGATGAATTCCTGAATTCTCGGTAAATTACCACATCTCTCGTGGAGGTCTGCCACTCGTGAGTATCATCACCGTTGGTGATAATACGAAGTACTTTGTTCGCAGCACCTGCAGTCTATTCATTTGAGTAGGTGCTATGCTGCAGAACACCGGGCACGCATATGTCATCACAGCCTAATTATCTGTTTATACACCAGGACCTTATTCTCCACTGAAAGTGGAGAGGTCCTGGATAGGAGCGGATACATCTTTTTTATTTCCGATTGGGTTTTCTGTGTTAGATGATTGGTATTAGGCCTAAGACTCATACGGCTAGTGCCTTACCTGAGAAGCTAGGGCGATGCCCCATTCTAAGCTTTTTTATATTGAGGTTAATATGATTTTCTTCTCCATTTTTTCCCATTTTCAATGTTACCAACATAAAATGCCCATTATTTTACGTTGGAACACTGAAGACAAGTACATATGGGGAAGACATTTGTTTTCTCTCCCAACACTAGCTGAACTGCTCTATCACAATTTTCAGTGATATGCAGTGATTGAATGATGAATATTATAGATTGAACAGATCACTCATCATAATCGCATCCACTGAATAAATCACAGGGTACGCAGAAAAGTTGGTCCAGAAAGTGAAGATGAAACATGGGAAAAATTAACCCTGGTTCTAATTAACTTCCCTATACCCAAAGCTCATTTACTGAGATCATATAAATAGTACTTAATTATATGGTGGAATTATAGTATGGTGTGCTCCGACGCATCTTCGTATACGCCACTGCGAGTAAAACAATTGCTCGGAGTCTGAGCTCACAGTTATCGGTGCCCGCGGCGTCGTGATCATTCTGGTGCGAGTATGCGCAGAAAGGACGAATTGAAGATAACTAAGTAGCACACCATATTATATTTCCACCATGCTTAATTCTGCATTATAAATGCCCGAAATCTTGGATTCTTCTAGTAGGCTGTGCAAAATATCTGTAAACAAATGAATAAGAGTTGTTTACTGTCAGTTTCATCATCTACAAAAGTGCAATGGGTTGCGTTCAAGAACTGTCAGATGACCGACCCTGGAGGCACAACATTGAAACACAACCTCACTTTTCTTGTTTGTTTACAAGTGATTGAAATAGCTTTTCACAATTATTTTGGCATACGAATCGTATTTTTTTTGGTATTCATTAATTCGCTCATGCCATCACATCGTGCTGTTGTACAATGCACAAAAACTGCAGCAGAAGACTAAGGAATCCTGTTGGTACATTATGTTTTAAAAGTAAGTACCTACTATAGTCACTCACATATAGTTTTCATTTTTGAAATTTGGTAATTTCTCAGATTTCTCATCGGAATTCCTTCTGCAATAGGAGCTAATAGAAATACACATGAAATTTCTAAAATAATAGAAGAATATTGGATTCATGCAATCAAACGGGAGGATTGGTCTGACATGCTGACGAAATATGATCGTGTGTGTTGTAAACATTTTCAATCTATTAGCAGTATTAGCTTGTATTGCAGAAATGGCAGAAGGAAATTTAATTAGGAATGACAACATTTCATAATGATAACTATGTGAGATTACTATTTACCTGAAAAATCATATTCCTTCGTTTCTCGCTGCATTTTTTGTGCATGCGAAGGCAAGTTCGAATTAATGAATAGCGCAAAAAAACACTATTCGTTTGCCATAATATTGTGAAAAACTATTTCAATCCTTAGATTCCTCTGCAAGCAAATAAAAAAGTGAGGTTGTGTTTCAATAATTCACAGAAGAGTGAGGTTGCACGAGACCCATATTGCCCTTGAAGGCTATAATAAAGAATGGCGATTGTAGTAAAAGAAAATCTTGAGACGTATTTCATTTTGTCAAGTTCTTTCTAGGTACATGTGATTCTTGAAACCTGTGCAAAAAAAAATTAATCTCCATTGTCCCTACATTTTCAAATCATGGAACATAAAAAAACATAAAAAGTATTAGTAAAGGTCACTAATTATCCGACGGGGAGGATGTTGTTAAGCAATCGTCTAAGGTGTGTCCTTCAGCAAGTTCGAACGGACAGTTTGACAATTTCTTACTAATACGCGCCTTAATCAGACAATGGACAAAATCCAGCTCAGTAAAAGCTCCATTATCGTTATTATCCCAAAATCAGATCGGACTCAAGCAGCCTTCGAAGCCATTCCCGCTGCATACTGACGTGGGAGTGTTGAAATGGCGACTCCAGAGCATGGACGAGACGTTGGTGCCGCTGCTCATAAACTGCTGGCCCTCCGAAGCAGGAGACGGCAGCTGCGATGTCAACATAGAGTATGAACTTACCCACACTAACTTAGAACTGGTCGAAGTCAATATAGCGATCCCATTACCGTAAGTTATCATGATTATTCATAATTATTAATAAATAGTCACTGTTTGAGTGCTTGTCGAATATGAACAAATCTAATTAGTGGAATGTACGAATGATTTTAAATATGTTCGTGGTAATTTTAGGAATAATTCCTCACCTAATTCTTTCATTCATAAATATTATCGGATGACTAATTGGATAACGCATGAAATATGTGCTTCAAATGGATTTTATAACCGTTAATCTAACATTTTTCTCATAATAGCGAATTTGCCATTTCGAATATCTGAAAGGCTACAAAAAACAACCTCAATATTTTTGAGGTTATCCATAAGTGAAGAGCCTTTTATTTATACCTATTTAATTTTAGAAATAATTCCTCACCTAATTCTTTCATTCATAAATATTATCGGATGACTAATTGGATAACGCATGAAATATGTGCTTCAAATGGATTTTATAACCGTTTATCTAACATTTTTCTCATAATAGCGAATTTGCCATTTCGAATATCTGAAAGGCTACAAAAAACAACCTCAATATTTTTGAGGTTATCCATAAGTGAAGAGCCTTTTATTATTACCTATTTCACATGGTTGATTCTTCAATTCTAGCACAACATAAAATCGAAAAATCAGGCCATACCAAGGGCCAGACTCGTCGAGTGCAGTCGTGACTCTATAAAAAATTGAAACAAAGACATTCATCATGTTTGAATGCAAAATATATTATGGATGAACTCGGATTGCTCTGATCTTTCACAGGCGCTACCTAGGAGTACACCATTTGTACCGTATATATTTTTTTTATCGCTTGCAGCGCACGAAAGGGAATCCCTATAATGTATATAAATCACGTTTTATGCCAAGGAACAAGAGGCATTGTTCAATAGCCGAGTTGTATCAGTTTCCGAGATGTTTCAACAACTAGGCGAACTCAGTCTTCTGCCATTGATTTATACATATTCATTATTTTTTACACTACTTGAAACCTTCATTATATTGTGATAAATTATTATTCTTGTTGAACGTCGCTTAATGCTATCAGATGAGTAAATCAAATTCAGAGAGGATATAGTGATGTAATAGATATTTACATAACCAGTTAGGATATTCGTCATTTTGTGTGACGATTGGATTTTGCGGGACGAGCGAAGCTTGTATGCTACTAGGAACAATATATACGTTGTGTCCACCCTTAAGGACTACCCCACTGTAAAACCTTTGTTTTTTGTTGTTGTTCTGTTTTGATAAACTATATGTTGAGAAGGTATGTAAAATGCACATTCAACAAGTGGATGACTTTATCGTTGATGTTTAACCTTCAACTGGTATTGTGATTTCCCGAAACGTATCTGGTATCTTGTGGTATTTTTCAACACCCCATTTAATATTTGCGGAAAAATAAAATAAAAAAACTCATGTCTTTTCCAAAAATGTTGCAATTTCTGATCATGAAAACTATGAACCATTAAAACATCCGATTCATATTTGAATCAACAGAAAGAAATGAAAACTCATATTAATATTCTTTGGAGGTTGTGAAAATCCCTTGAAATGTCGTGTGAATAGTTATTTCTAATGCAGGCCTGTCCTTCGGACCTCACTATTGAGTTTGAAATACTTAAAATGTATATATTTTTCCTTGGTTTATTAAGTTATTAAATGTATATACAAAGTAGATTACTTGGAACCAACAAAAAATCTTTATAAACCTAGGCAATTGTTAGATATTAACTCCATACAAATTCAAAATATTAAATTTCATCCATTCCGTCAAATATAATTATAAACATTCAAATCTGAATTAATCAGATATGGGTAAAAGATCTATTTTATACAATGGAATAATTCTCTATAATGAATTATCTGCCAGACTGAAGGAGAAATTAAGTATTGAGAAATTCAAAAAAGAACTGAAAAAATACTTATGTCTTTGATTCTCTTATATCATCTTCAATTCAAGAACTTACATTCAACAGTCTCTAGAAGAAATAACATTATATGTACTATGTATATGATTTAAAAATGATAAACTGATTATCTAATTTTTTTTTAGTTGCTCTCTCATAATTTTCCCTGCTATGAACATATATGTTTCTTGGGAATAATAAAGATTATTATTATTATATGTGATGAGAAAGAAAATCGCTTCATGGAATTACTCTTTATTTTCAAAGATTTGCTAGATGTCACGGACTTGGGAGAATACCTGAAACAAAAAATCGCTAAGTTGATTAGTTAATAGTGGGGTACCGAAAAACGCTACGATACCAGTTGGGGGTTAAGCGGGGCGACAGCTCACCAAACTATAGGGCTGTCAAAAAAACGGAGTTTGTTTTCTATCAATATATTTTTTATTAATGGACCGATTCCATCGATTTTGGTTTTGTTTGCAAGAAAATTGAACAAGACAAAGGTCAACTCCATATTTATTGAATTTCTCCATTAAACAAAATGGCGGACACACCTAAACTTGGTCGACCTTGAAAACTTGCTGGACATTTTTGTGAGTCGCACTGTATAACTTTGCGTGTGGTATTCTGAGAGCGTGCACTTTTCCTAATAGAACAAGAAGTCGAACATGCAAATCCGTCAAAAAATAACTGACATATGACAGGATATAGACAGGTATGATTTCACATCTGGATTCCTATTTTCTTTCGTTTTTTCGTAATTTTGCAAAATCAATCTGTATGTAACCAATTTCTTTGGAATTATCGACATTTGTTCGTGGATTTATCTTTTCGGAGGGTTCAAATTCAAAGTGGTGCTTCCTAATGACGATGAAGTTATTTTCATAACAATGGGCGTGTACACCTTGGTAGAACTTTCAAATCAAACCATGTTTATAATGATCCTTTTATACATAAATAATGATTGACGACATAATTCGATCGAAAAATTAACTGGAATAATTTATTTTTGGACATAAATAATAGTACCATCTGAAAACGGACCCTCCTAATGACGTAGAAACCTCATCTCGCCATAGTTAAGAGAAAATACCAAAAGCCCGACGGAGACTGAGGCAACTGATTGCAACTGATATATTAATTCTTTCAACTGTGATCTCGCGCTAATTCACTCTGTCAGAAATCATGTATCATTCATCTCTGTCTGGAATAGTCTTGTTTCAGTATTAGGGTTTTGACGTCACATCATCGCCTCGTTTTCGAAGGTCCGAAAAATCGGGGATTTCAATAATTTTTTATAAAACGTAGGGAGCTCACAGCAAGAAACGGTTTGCGGTGGTGAGCTAGTTTGGATGAGTCCTATTGAATTATGAAATGAAAATGTTTTATGATATAGGCCCATTGCGCAAATACAGTTAGGCAAACGACGCGAAGCGGAGTTCGTTTGAGTTTTTTCGCGCAGAAAAGGCACTGCGCACGTGTTAGCAACAAAATTTCTCCTATAAGCTTCATATAAGATAACAACCAAATAAAAAAAAATAGAACTTATTAAATAATGTTTAGTTGAACATGTTAAAAATAACTATGCTACAAAGAATTACATAACAATGAAAAAAATAATAGTAAATCAAATTATTTGTTTATAATGAAAGAACAATTATTGACATTTTGCAAAATGATTACACATCCGGTTAGTTCTTTTAATGGGTGATTTATGGTACGACTTGATGAACACTGAGCAGAAGCGCAGTTCATAATAGTACTAGATAAAGCTTAATTTTTCTCAAGACAGACAATTTTTCCATACCAGTGAGATTGAGTAGTTTTACTTTTCAGCACTTGGTGCGGACATGGTCATTCACTAAACGAGTGCGGAAAGTAGTACTATCCCGCACGCGACGGCAGTTGTACGAGTGTTTTTGTCCATGTTATATACGAAAAGAAAAAGTTTTAATTAACAAGATTTTACTACAAAATGACACATAAGACAGAATCGTTACATAGATCATTTAGTTAGTCCTGAATATCCTCATCTTCCACAATAAAATAATCGTGCGGAAAAGTGTAACTTTCCGCAGGCAAATGTATGCATGAAAGTACTACTTTTCACACGCTCGTGGGAATCTTTATCAAAATTTTAATTTTGATATGATAAGAGATTGAATGGAATTTCACAACAATTTCCTGCCATGCGACTATTCACAAAAATGGAAGAACTTGAAGCTCATGAGGAGCATACTGATATTTGATCTTCTCAAACATTTGTAGTTTGTTTACATTCATTTTCCTTTTCTTTGTACTTTAAATTGAGTTAAGTAATTCTCATTATTTTCGGGCCAATCTGAATGGATGAAGATTTTATCTTTGTTATTTTGTTATGTTCAAACAGAAAATACAGGCATACCAACATGCACAAGAAAATCGGAATCCAGATGTGAAAACATACCTGTCTTTATCTTGTCATATGTCAGTAATTTTTTGACGGATTTGCATATTTGATCTCTTGTTCTGTTCAGAAAAATCGACGCTCTCAGAATATCACACGAAAAAATATACAGTAAGTACCACCCAAAAAAGTTCCATCAGGCTTTTAAGTTCTGCCAAGTTCAGGTGTAACCGCCATTTTTTTAAATGGAGAAAATTAATAAACATGGAGTTGACGTTTTGTCTTTTACAATTCTCTTTCAAACAAGACCAACATCAATGAAATCAGTCAATTAAAGAAAAATATATTAATCGAAAACAAAATTCGTTTTTTTTTGACAACTCTATATATCGAAGACTGTAACCTTTGGCACGATAATACACTACACTATTTACCACTAACCAAACCGATTTTTTAAACACCTCGACACGTGTTTCGCTAACTATGTTAGCATCTTCAGAAGAAGATTGAAGGAGAAAATTAAAATAGGTTTGGTTAGTGATAAAACATTGTAGTGTAACTCTATATCACTTACGACCACTTAAGAGCTCAAATTTCAAAAAGTAATATAATAAGGCTCCATTAGGGTTTCTTTATATGAACTAATGACGGATTTCCAATTAGAATCACTTAAAACCCACCTATACCGATTTTCATCAGTCTAAAAATTGATTATGGTGTGTTTGATGAAATAAATCATGTATTTTTTAAATGACTCTTGAAGAACTGTTGAATTCTTATTGTGGAACATATTAAACATATCTATCAAAATATCATCATTCCAGAATATATGGTTAATTTTTTTTAAACACTCTATTCAATCAGAGCCGAGTTGTGGCTGACTATGGCAATCTCTCAACAAGAGTGAGTTATAGATTCGTTTTCAATTGGTCACATTATTTGAAGTATATCCTTCCTGACAGTGAATGAGTACAAGGGGCGCTTTTCCTTTGTATCCAAATGAATCATGGAAAATTGTACATAAAAAATTGCTAAAATCGCAAAGTGTGATGTAGTTCTGATTTTTTCTTATATTGTTAGGACATGCTAGGGAAGTATGATTTCAAGTTTGCAGCTTAGAAAAACCTGTGGTTGCTTCAAAATACGTTAAAAACGGCAAAATATGTGGAGTTGTTTCAGATGTTGCGTTATAACTCATAAACAATACGTTCGACATTAGATGTGATTAAAGTTTGTGTAGTTAAATCAATTTGCGACAGCTAAACTGCGACTCAACGAACAAAAAGAGCCCTGGAAATATAGTTGTCATTTTTTATGGATTTTATTTGAACACTGAGGAAAATCTCTAGATCTGATAGTTTCCTTGGAATTGTGAAAAAAAAAACAAATTGGAAAATTGAATTTTTGAATAAATAATCCCGATTACTTCAATATGTCGACTTTATGGGCGTAAGAAAAATATTTAAAAGTGGAGGAGTATATTTTTAGATTCATATTATTAAAAAATATGAGAAATAGGAATTGAAAACGCTCAATTTTTAGAAGTATTGTGTCTATCTCTGCCTGCTCCTTTGAAGGTGGAGGATCGTCGGGGTCGATCTCACCCTCGTCGATCAGAAATATAGCGACGTTGTGGTGAGTCTTAGAGTGCACAAAGGGGCACCTAAGTCCAGCTCTGTGCTTGCACTCAAATGAGATTGATGTGAGAAGGATATTATCACGATATTAAAGAGGGTTAGTCCATCCATGCCACGATAAAAGGGTTGTTTCCACCATGTCATGACATAGCGGTAGGACTTTCACTATGCCACGACATAGGGATGGTACTCCACCCATATCGATTTATAAGGGGTTTGCTTGGCTTGCGAACGGTAATATTCAAATAGGCACTGATAGTTTTGGGGTAACTGAAAGTACGAGACTTAATTCAAAGATAACAATATTTTGTATAGCAGGAAACATTACGAGTGCAGTGATGATAAATATAAAAGAATAGCAATGGATATAGAGACCTAATAACAACTTACATTATGATGACCATATTGACAAGTTCTTGTCAAGAGTAGCCCCAGACCAGACTAACTTCGGAACCCTCATATCCAATATTTATATACATCATTTTATTAAATTTGCACGTTTTTCATGATAGTTCCTTGGCTAGTATTCATAGTTCAATGTCAGTGGATAATATGATTAACTTTATGTTCATATATATAACCCTCATGGTTCGAAATTACTAATATACCGTATGTTCTACTCGTGACAATATTTGGAGCTGGTTCGCATGATGTTGTTACTAGAATTGAATCTAACCCTGTAGGTTTATAGTTCAGTGGATACGAACGGGAGGAAGCGGCCTCTTGGTTGGGAGCAAACGTGTCAGGTTTATGTTTGCGTTGGCTGCTGATTTTATGAATAGGCGGAACTGAAGGCCGTGTAGGTTTTCGATGAATACGACTCCTCTCCAGCTTCGGCTATAGCCTTGTGACTGATATCTGTGTGGAGGAACACGGTAGTCAGGTCTATCAGGTTCCGTTTTTTTTCTTGTTAAATACTCCATAAGTTCATTTTTCCTCGCCATAAAATGGGAGTGGTGGTATCACATCCGTTGAATGCGTTAAATGAGATTTAGAATCTGGAGGGCAATTCCGTTCCTCCTTGATACAACTTGACACACTCCTGCCACTTTTCTGTATGTATAGTCGAGCCCGAGCTGCAGAGTAGAACAAGAGTAGGCCCACATCCTCTTCAAACACATTCTCGTAATATATGGTTTTATCAAGGGTGGCTCGGATTATGTCACAGTCTGTCGTTATCTCAGTTTCAATGCTCTCGAGCCCAAACGCCGAACACAACTGATCAATGAGGCGTCGTTTATAGGCGACTGAGATTAAGATCGTAGCGCCAAAACTGCGAATGTCGGTACTACTCTATGGGTCATTGGCAGATTGTCTACATTGTTTGGTAATGGTGTTTATGTTCACTTCGTTTTGAGTTTTCAAACGTTCAGCTTTGTTATTTGTCTATTGTCAAACTCTGTATTTTCCGGTGGTCTATAGTGTTTCGATTGAGGACTAAATTACCTCTGTTCAACATTAGATAACCTACCTACCTCTAGTTGAAATTCATATATACCAACATACATAAGCTGTAATTTTTTATCATCTTGTACGTGTGGGATGTTGATTTCCAATTCGAATATATCGCCCTGATGATATTTTGATATATTTAAAAGAAAATCCAGCATACTTTTTGGGAATAAAATGTTCTTCCGAAGGTAAATTTAGATATATATTTTCTAATTGACTTTTTACAACACAATCATCAAAAACTTGATTGATATATTGTTTACTGTTTGAAAATTCTACTGTTCATGAGTAAAGATATAATCAGTTTAAAATTTGTTTTTTACCATTACCCCAAGAAGTAGGTATTATATTCATAGTAGTTATACATTTGAAAATATATATGAGTAAATTTTCGGTGAAGTGTAAAAAACTATCTCTCATTATGTTCAGACACTTTTTCCATTCTTCAAGTTAGTAATCCACACCTTTCTCCTATCTATCACTTCCTTGTTTCCCAAATTATTAGTTTCAAATACAAATTTGGACTGTCCTGATTTTGGAAAGATATGAAAGCTATACTCGGGATTTTTTTGCTCAAGATGAACAATGAGGTACCTACACAACAATAATGATTCATGTTTTTATACGTTTATAGAAGTTCTCAAACAAAATTATAGACAATCAAGCGGCGTTCACAACCAAACTTTTTACGTTCTGCTTATTACGTTTCGTATTCTGATTGGTGAAGCAGAATCTGAAATTAAACGTCATTTCAATTACAGATTTTGCTTCACCAATCAGACTACGAAACATAAAAAGTTTGGTTGTGAACGCCGCTTGAAACCACAACTACTTCTCATATAAAACACACGCAAACTAATGTAAACAAAGCAATCAACGGCCCATACGTTAGTTATATTAGACAACGGCAGTGGGCGTATTCCTTAACAAGATTCGCCTATAGGAATCATCGATAATAGTTGAGAAGTAAACCACAATTTCGTTACAAAAAAGTACAGCGTAGCCACACTATCGTTTTGCGGTTTTGGTACTTCAGCGAATCCATCCAACACTACTGACACTTTTTTACCAAAATGGTTCAATGTGTAGGTAATATAGTTAGCAACGATTGTTAAAGGGGGTTAGAGGTCAGGGGAAATGTCCGTCCCATGAATTCTCATACACCACCTAGGAACAAAGGCCATCATCCTCACCAGAAGGATTTTCTTCACAATTATCTGCATTTTCCCTACATCAAATGCTCACAAATTGTTCTAAGAAGTGTTTAAGCGCATTTATTCAAAAATCCAATTCTTCTATTCGTTTTTTTTTACAATTTCAAAAAAACTATCAGATCTAGAGTTCTAGAGCTTTGTTCTCAAATGGAAGCCAAAAAAATTTTTTATAACCTTTATTTCCAGGGTTCTTTCCATAGGTTGAGTGGTTATGTCGATATACGGCCCGAAACGAAAACAAAACTTGAAATTTATATTTTCTACGAAAATTTACAAATTTTTGAAGTACTATATCTCGACAAATATTAAACGTACAGAATTGCAATTGAGCTGAAATTGTTGTAAATTCATGTCACTTCAAAAACTGTAATCAAATCTTTTATCGAAAAACGCATAGTTTTTAACGTGTTAAAAATCGAGCACAGGTTTTTCGAAGGTGCAAACTGGGGTTCACACTTCACACTACCCTAACTGGCCCTCACAATATTTCACAAACTGAGAACTACATCACGCTTTGCGATTTTGATGTCTTATTTGACTGGCGTATTTGTTGAGTAACTTTTTATTTTAGCATTGGATGTTCTCCCGTGATTGGTGAATGTGATGGGACATATACTCACGAGTCAAGACGCAATCAACTTATTTGGAATCTGCCTCTCATTGATGTGAACAATAAATCTGGTTCTTTGGAATTCAATGCCCCCAGAGCCATTCCTGACGACTTTTTTCCACTTTCAGTCTCATTCACTTCAAAATCTTCTTACGCAAATATAAAGGTATTTTATCCAACTAAAACACTAAATGTTTCATTGTCTTAAATCATCATAGCTTTAGAAGATTTCAACTGATTTCACTTCAAATATGATATTCTGTAAACCTATTTTGTTAATTTCGAGTTTATAAAAAAAGTAGATATTAGAATTGAAATCAGATGTTACACGAAAATTTCAAGATGTTACACAGTTGACTGAAATTTTGTTGTGCCTCTTTCAGATTTATTTAATATGATGTTTCTTGTTTTAGATCACAGAAGTCGTACATGTGGATGATGATTCTCCCGTTAAATATTCAGTTGAAAGTGTATTGTATCCTGATAAGTATGAAATAGTATAAAGGGTTTTATTAACTAGAACTGGAATTAATAATAAAATCACTTGTAAAGAGAAAATATTCAACTAATTCCCCATCCATTATTCAGTGTTGCTTTTTGTACAAAAATGTTACGGAAATTTATCTTTATTTTTTATCTACATAAATAAAGTAAGAGAAAACAATTATAACATCTTGTTTACTTTTTTTCATCACTTGGAGCGCACGAAAGGAAATCCCCATAATATTCAAAGAACATCTCAAAATTAGTCATTAAAATAGTTATTTATGTACCAAGGACGAAAAACTGTCTATTATAGTCTGCATATTCATAGCCGAGGCTAGCAATCAGGCGGGACAAAAGATAGTTTTTCGCCGAGGTGCATATTGAATTTTTTTGTCGACGTCAAACACTTACATCCACATCACGGTCCTATTCACACGTGAAATCTATTTGATTTCGTGAATAATTAATTTGGCAACTGCAAATGATAGTTGATGTCAACTCACTCGCTCCGCGGACCAGGTTGCCAGTTATTTCATCAGTAAATACCTTGTCGAAAATTCATATCTATTTTATGCTATACGAATTCCAATAAAGGGTAGTGAAATGAACCTATGACGTCAAAACATTATGTACTTTTAGTAAACAGAAAAGTTACTTATTTTCAACAAAAAAGAAACAAACAATACAATCATTCTCATAAAAATAATCTCATTCTTAATTCTCAATTTGAGAATACTAACAAATATCACGAAATACAGTTACATATAGGAACTTATAAGATAAACAACAAAAATATAAAACAAATAAAAAAATCAAACTTGAGAAACAAACTGTTATAACAGAGGTATATAAAAATTGAATTTGATTTGAATCAGATAAATTATTGAAAAGGAATATTCTCAGATATATTATAAACATGAAAAAATGGATACATTTGAATAAATACATTGAGAATTCGCATTCTCTATGTGATGAAATTATTAATCCTTTCTCGGCATATTCAACAGAAAACAACTACTTTCCTGGCTATATGCCACGACGAACATTGAATTATATCAATTGGACATACACGATAAGAATTTGAGCATAAAATGAATATCGTCTGAAATTGAGAATTGACATTCTCTTCCAGAATCGGATGAATACTATGATGAATATAACGATATAAAAAATATATTACTTACCAAATTGGTATGAAAATTGGAATGTATGGGAGAAATATACTAGTATACATACTCTGTTCTTGTTGAGTCGTGAATTTATCAAAAATCATCCGTATCCATGATGTTTGGGATATTCATTTTATGCTCAAATTCTTATCGTGTATGTTCAATTGATATAATTCAATGTTCGTCGTGGCATATAGCCAGGAAAGTAGTTGTTTTCTGTTGAATATGCCGAGAAAGGATTAATAATTTCATCACATAGAGAATGCGAATTCTCAATGTATTTATTCAAATGTATCCATTTTTTCATGTTTATAATATATCTGAGAATATTCCTTTTCAATACTTTCATACCCAATCAAGGGGTTCAAACTTGAACGATGGAAACTTGTTATTTTTATAGACCTTCAATCGCAGATTCGTGATTGGGTTTTTTTCTCAATTCAGAATTTCTTTCCACGCCCTGTATGATAAATGTCAGTTTGTCATACATCTAAAACAGATAAATTATTGTCCTTTTTTGGTTTATACATATCATGAGTATCTATATGTGAATTTATAACTTATTTTGTAAAATTAATTTAAACAGAACGTACCGAAATAGAATTTATAAGTGTATGTGATCAACTAAAAGATTGAAAATCATATAGGTTATTATAATAATAAATAAGTTAAATAAGTGTCAAAGTATTTTTCAGTAGGTTATGAAATGTTTCAGTAGACAATATGCAAATTAGGAGATCTACTGAAAATTCAGTAAAACTGGCAACTCTGCAGAGGCCGAAAAGTGTTTGCGGACAAAAAGTTAGTGTCTGCAGATGAAAAATACTTGCCTTCAGAAATAGTCGGTTTTTCGTTCGGAAATTAGAACATAAAATGTGATTTTTTTGTAGAAGTCGACGAAAAATCATTCTATTTATTGAATTTTATCAAGTGTTTTCATCACGCCTGGATCAACTCGTTCAACATTGCAAGACGCGTTCAGTGTTCCGTCTGCCACGCTCTCAATAGGCAAAAACACTAATTTCTAAAAAAAAAGACGTTCATCGGTCATCATAATGCGAAAAAGCATTGATTGTTTTCAAATTTTTTATACCTTCTTGATTTCTCAAAATAAATTCTCAATGAAATGCCCCAGATAGAAGTCACAATATGTACTATAACGCGCCGATCGTCTATTGGTAGTCAAGAAAAATTGATAATTTACTACAGCGTTGCCGTTTGTTAGGATACTAACATTCATAGCTCTCAAGATCAAAAACTGGATTGTGACATTTAATAATAATAGTAATATTTTTTGATCCCAAGAAACATACATGTCTATAGAGGGATACAAAAAATAATAAATAAATCAAATATGCAATATACAGGGTGTTTCAGTTTTTTGTAGCAGGACTTTAACAGCTTGAAGAAGACATTTTTTCAAGATGAAATTCTCAAACGAACATATATGCGTGGGTGCTTTGTTTCCGATTTACAGGGTGTCAAAGTTTCAGATTTTCTTTATGTTTTTTGAATTTTCTCCTACAATTTTCGGAATAATTGATTGAAGTTTGGTAAACCTAATACACTTCAAAAAATCAATATTTGAGGCTATTGAGCGTTTTTGAATACCTACAGGGTGATACGACTTTCAGGGGTCGTACCCAATTTAACCCTGTAAATTTTTTTTTGCGTGCCGCCTCTGCTTTCAATGGGACATAGATTCAGATTGTCTCTGCAATTCGGAAACTTTTTGCCCCCATGCATGTTTGGTTATGTGTGTGTGTGTATGGTTTTCGAGATGAATAAAAGTGGAGTCCGAACCACTTCTAAGGGTAGGTACTGATGAAATTAAAATTGCCGTTCACGAGATTAAATTGTTAAAACCCACAACACCTCAACCGTCAGAAGCGACAGTCTAGCGATGTATAGCGCCTAGACCGTGTCATACAGTCCATGCAATCGAAAGTTTAACCAGTTTCAGTTATACAGGGTGTCCTTATAGAATTTTCTACAATACAATTTCAGATTTTGCAATCCAGTTAGAGAAGTTTTTCAAAATAAAAACATTTTTTCTTTGTTTTTCCAACTTTTAATTATAATGGTGTTAAAAAAATTCAATCTAATTTTGCAACTGAATTTCATTCGGTATGGAAGCTTTCGGTCATTCTATTTTCCAATAAAATGTTTGAGAAATTTCAAATAAGTGTGTTTGAGAAATAACGGTTTTATTACAAGTAATTAATTTTTGGCATTTATCTCGAGATACATACAGTTTTCGAAAAATTCACGTAGAGGCAAAAAGTTCCCAAATTGAAAGGACAATCTGAATCTATGTTCCATTGAAAGCAGAGACGGCACGCAAAAAAGTTCTACAGGGTTAAATTGGGTACGACACCTGAAAGTCTATCACCCTGTAGGTATTCAAAAACGCTCAATAGCCTCAGGTATTATGTTTTTGAAGTGTATTAGGTGTACTAAATTTCAATCAATTATTCCGAAAATTGTAGGAGAAAATTCAGAAAACATAAAAATAATCTGAAACTTTGACACCCTGTAAATCGGAAACGAAGCTTCATCCACGCATATATTATGTTTGTATGAGATTTTCATTTCAAAAAAATGTCTTCTTCAAGACAAAAAACTGAAACACCCTGTATAATGATAGATAAACAGTTCAATCACAATTAATTGATACAAGGAGTGATTTGAATTGATAAAATACATTTCTTCAGTTCACTCTCGAATTTGGTGACGAACTTGATAGATAGGTATAGATTGTTATTCTGTTGAGTAAACTATTATAAATATTTATTCCAAAAAATATAATGTTTTTTTCGCAAATTATCTGGTTTGATGCTTATAGGTATCAGAATTAATATTGAAAGTAAGATTCAAGTGCATTTTCTTATTTTTAGTGAAATGGATGAGAATGCATACTTTTATTTTGAAGAAAGAGTCAATATCAAGCAGATCCCTTGGTTTGTATAGGTCAGATGTTGATTCCAGAAATGGTAGTTTATAAATACATTTGATGGCTTTATTCTGAAGAGATTTCCGAGGTTTCAAAACAGATATTAGAGTGATGTCATCAGAATTTGAGGTTCATCCCAAGCAGCGATTTCCGATCCATTTTGGGCAAAGTGTCGACTCTGTTATTTGGACACGACACATTTTTAAGGTACCTAGTCGACTTCCAGACCATTAAAATTGGAAATGTGACCAAAATAGTGATTGTAATAATACTCCTAGTCATCTATTATTATTGAACTACTTCACTCCACTTTGAGACAGCTTCTACAGTAGGTTGATTGATTCGTCTGCTGAATATGCACTGAAAATGTGTCTTGATTGTGCCATTCGTTTCCAATGTGCCTCAAAGTGAACCTTAATGTGTCTACAAAGTGATTATTTTGTTTCTATGAGCCACAAAATTGACACAAGATGGTCTTTATTATACTGAAATTATTATTTATTCGTGCCTTGAATAGTATCAAAACACCTTGTTTGAAATTATATTTTAAAAAAACCGCAATTTTTCCCAAGTACATCCACGTCGAAGTAGTTGTTGAAATACTGCGTACTTTCAGGTAGTGTCCAAACAGGACCATGTTTCAGTAATGTGAATAAAATTTGCCTATAAATTGCCCATCCCTACACATTTCAATATAGAAAAAACAATTCAAAGTGATGTTCCTAAATATAGACAAAAAATTTACTGTAATGTGACTAAAACGACCCGCAGACACATTTCAGTAACCTATAAGACACCGGAGTTCATAATTATGAGCAAAACTTCGATCATACAACTGTTGTTCGGAGAACCAAAATGTGTAGACACATATCGGGAAGGTTTTGTCTGAAATGCGGCATAGATTCGATCACACTTACTTTCCTAGATTTATTTACATAGAGTTTAAGTTACTTTTCTTTTTGGAAGTGTTTCAAAGCGATTCTCATAATACATCGTGCTTATAATGTCATTTAAAATCATTAAAACAGTCGAAAATGATACATTGCAAATGTGCATTGAGCATT